AGAGAGAGAGAGAGAGAGAAAGAGAGAGAGAGAGGAAGAGAGAGAAAGGATTAAAAAGGGCTTTTGACAACTGGAGGATGGATTTGCCATCAGCTGATAACAAAGAAAGCCTTGGGTAGATCTGGGTTTTGGGGACTGTCAGAGGTCTTAGAGAGGTTTATTTGGAGAGGACTACTAGGTATCCAAGTAGAAATGTTGAGTTTGATAAATGAATATGGAGTTTAGAAAAGAGGTCTAATTAAGCACCAAGATTGGAGTTGAAGTCATGAGACTGGGTAGAACTCCTGCGGGTGTGAACACAGTTACAGAGAAGACACAGTTACACAGTTATATTGTCCCCTAGGACAGTGCCCTGGAGCACCCCAACATGAATTGTGGGAACCCAGTGAGAGTGCCTGGGCAGGAGCAGCCAGCAAGATAGGGAGTAAACCAGGAGAAGGGGCTGTTCTGAAAGCCAAGGGTGGAAAGTAGATTGAGGAGGAAGCGATCAGCTATGTCAGCTGCAGTAGGGTATTCATGGTGACAGTATTGGTGTTAACAGTCAAAATGGCCAAGTTTATTTGGTGTTAAAGTCATCTTCCCTCGCCTGAAGCCTGCTTCCAGAGACCTGTATCAGAACCTGTACCTCCTGGTAGTTGGTCTTCCTGGGCAGGATTTCAAAGGGCTCCAGGCTGGCACTACCCTGTGTGTTCTGCTTCTAGTTCACCACAGAACACAAGCAACTCAACCTGTTCCTCCACCCCGCTGTCTCAGGCTGACAGCCCACTGTTAGATTCCTCAGCACATGTTGTTAGACACCAGATGTCCCCTCTGCCCTTGCCCCTAGTCCCAGGAAACACTCATCAGGCTCTGAGTGGTAAGCCCTCTTACTAGGTGTATGAGTTTCCCAGGGCTGCTGTGAGTGGTTTAAAGCAGCAGACGTGGTCATCTCACAGTCTGGAGACCGGAAGTCCACAATCAAGGGTTAGCAAGCCCGCACCCTCAAAGGCTCTAAGAGGGGACCCGCCCTTGCATCTCTCTGGTTCTGGTGGCCCCAGTTATTCCTGGGCCTGTGGCTGCCTCCGTCCAATGATCCCCATGTGGCTCCCTCCCCTGTGCGTCTCCCTCTGGCTTCTCCCTTCTGTCTCTCATAAAGACACTGATTGTTGGGTTTAGGGCCCACCCCCGTCACCCAGAATGATCTCATCTTGAGATCCTATATCTGCAAAGACCGTTTCCCAAATAAAATCACATTTATATGTTCCAGGGGTTAGAACATGGGCATATCTTTTCAGGGGGCTACCATTCAGCCCATTACACTGGCCGAGGGGCTGGTACCCTCCGCTTCTCCTGCTTGGGGGTGTGTAGGGGTCAGGACATCTCCCTCCACAACAGTCCTCTCCCGACTCTCCCACCTCTGGTGAAATTCTTCCATTTCCCGCCTTTGGAATGGGAGAAGCACCCTGAGGCACTAGAGGAATTACCATTTTTCTGTTTAAAATGTAGCCCCAGAACTTGTAGGCTCATCCTGCAGGGTAAGGATGTGGGGCTCCTGTGACTCCCCTGCTGCCTTCCTCTTGCAGCCCTGGCCCTGTTGCATGATCAGACACCTCTGGAAGAGCCAGCTGTGTGAGATGGTGCAGCCCAGTGGCGGCCCGGCAGCAGATCAGGACGTGCTGGACGAAGAGTCTCCTCTGGGGAAGCCAGCCATGTTGCACCTGCCTTCAGAGCAGGGTGCTCCTGAGACCCTGCAGCGCTGCCTGGAGGAGAATCAAGAGCTCCGAGGTGAGGAAAGAGTTGGGACCTCTGCATTTCCTGGGCCTGGGTTGGGGATGTGCTGGCCTCCCTCTTGGTTTCAGGAAGCAGACCGTGAGATGTAGATTAGCAGGGAGGAAGTTTAGAGTACTCAGGACCAGTACTGGGAAGGGAAAGGAGGGACAGTGGAAGAAGCCGGGGTGGGCAGAGGGAGAAGGATGCTGGTGGGCAGGCTCCGGGACAGCCTCAGCGGACCCTACAGGGAACTGTGGATCTGGAATGAACCTTCCAGTTTGGACCAACATGTCCAGGCCTCTGTGTACGTGCACTGAGCACTCACAAAGTGCTGTCCATCCTGGGACAGGGTAGAGTTGGCCCTGGGAAGAGGTGTGGTCTGTCCAGAGAGGGGGTGGGGCCTGTCCTGGAAATGGGCAGCGTCTGCCCTCATAGAGGGGCGGGGGCGGGGTCTGTCTTGGGAAAAGTGCGTCCCCCTCCCAAACACCTCAGCGGAGGTGAAGGCCGACCTCCCATACCCAGCCCAGTGGCTGGGACCAGGGAGTTCTTTCGTAGGCTGCCATCTGGGCATCCCTCATCCTCGTGCTGCTCAGCTCCAGGTCATCACGGGTTCAGGGCTCAGTTCCATGCTCCTGCACGTGCCCTGGGCGTGACGACACCCCCAGCCCCTGCCCCTCTTCCTCCCACCCCCTCTCCTCACCACTGCTCTGCATGGACCCGGGTTAGCCCAGGGGGGCCAGATGGCACCCGCCATACAATCTTGCCTTTCTGCTGCAGGGTTGTTCTAAACCGCCGGTCCCAGAGCTGCAGGGAGGGGCCACACAGACTCCCCACGTGGCTCACTGGGCGTGGTAGGGCCCGTAGCCCCTTTAGCTTCATCCCTTGGTTCCTGCTGGGGACTTAGGCCTAAGTGTCCATCCTATCCTGGAGGACAACACCCCTTCCTTGCAGCTCAGGGTTTGTCATTCCTGAGCTGGCTCCTCAGTTGTGTATTCAATTGGCTCTCTGTGTCCTGGCTGGCTGGCAGCTCTTGGGCGAGGTGGCATGTGCCATGATCAGTGGAGACCACTGTCATGGGCCCACTCCCCTGCCGCCTTTGCTGGACTGTAGTCTGAGATGTTACGTGGGGCTCTGTGCTGACAAGTCACATACTCTGTAGGCTTCAGAGAGTGGCTCTGGCTGGCACCCTATAGGCAGGGAGAAGGCCTATGCCTGCAATGTGCCTTCCTGTCAAGGTGAATCGCCTTTCCTTCCAGGGAGGAAGGCCCAGTGCAGTCAGCTTGCTGTAGAGGGGCTGCTTGGTCTCCTCGAGGGCGAGGCTTAATTGGAGAGTTCCTGCTGGGCCACCTGGGACTGGAGAATTCTCTTGTGCTTAGAATCTTTAGGGGGAGACTCATGGAAAGAAGTTGAATGTCCGTAGTGTGTGATTCCACTTATGTGACATGTCCCAAAGAGGCCAATCTGCAGAGGCAGAGGCAGATGAGGAGGGGCTGGGGAGTTAGATAGTACTGATGGTTGCAGAGCCTTATCGATACACCGAAAACCACTGAATTAGTTAAAATGGTGAATTTGATGTCATGTGAATTTTACCTCAGTTAAGAAAAATATTTTTTTTAAATTAAAACAATTTTTTTTTTTAAAGATGGGGTTTCACCATGATGGCCAGGCTGGTCTTGAACTCCCGACCTCAGGTGATCGCCCAGCCCAAGAATATTTTTAAAAAGACAAGTTGTAGACCAGGCGCAGTGTCTCACGCCTGTAATCCCATCACTTTGGGAGGCCAAGGCAGGCGGATCACCTGAGGTCAGGAGTTCCAGACCATCCTGGCCAATGTGGTGAAACTCCGTCTCTACTAAAAATACAAAATTAGCTGGGTATGGTGGCGGGCGCCTGTAATCCTAGCTACTGGGGAGGCTGAGGCAGGAGAATTGCTTGAACCCGGGAGGTGGAGGTTGTAGTGAGCCAAGATTGCGCTACTGCACTCCAGCCTGGGTGACAAGAGTGAAACTCCATCTTAAAAAAAAAAAGACAAGTTGCAGGTGAGCTGAGCTGTGGGCAGAGTGAGCAGGATTCCAATGGGGGATGGGGGAATATTGGCTTGTCAGCAGGCAGTAGTTAGTTGGTTGAGGGTTTTGATCACTGGGTGACATGAAGCTACTGCTTGCCCCATTTTATCCAGCTCTGTAGTTGCTAAACCTTTGCACATCACTATCAGTTTTGTGTTCTCAGATGGCTCCTTCACTACTTGAGGTGTCTCCTGGGTGTGGGGCTCTTCTTCCTGTGGCCTCGGCTGACTGCCTGGCACTGGCACATGCCCTGACGAGGGGCGGACCAGCGGTTTTTCCCGTTTGTTTTCTGCTTTCTTGTTTAACCCTCCTCTTCTTGTAAGATGGATGTTATTGTCTCTGTTGACTATGCAGAGGAGGACTTTGAGGCTCAGAGAAGCCACTAACTTGCCTGGTTCAAGCCTCTGGGCCTCTCAGGCTGCAATCAGCAATGCTGCAGTGAAGTTTGCCTGGGAGGCTGACCCTATGAGTCTGCAGGGATGTCAGGACCCCTGATCCAGAAGACAGCAGAGGTGTAGGCTGGGAAGGGCCAGTACTGGGCATCCGAGGGCAGGCACACCTCAGACTGGCCAGAAAACAAATGAATTCCAGTCACTGACAAAGAAAGTGGCATAAGGCCAGGCGCAGTGGCTCACGCCTATAATCCCAGCACATTGGGAGGCTGAGGTGGGAGGATCACTTGAGGCCAAGAATTTGAGACCAGCCTGGGAAACATAGCAAGACCCTGTCTCTACAAAATAAAAATTAAAAAAAAGTGGCATTTGACAGAGGGAGGCTCTTGTTCCCCAGGCTGCAGTGCAGTGGCACAATCTTGGCTCAGTGCAACCTCCACCTCCAGGTTCAAGTGATTCTCCTGCCTCAGCCTCCTGAGTAGCCGAGACTACAGGCATACACCACTGCGGCTACTTTTTATATTTTTAGTAGAGACGGGGTTTCATCATGTTGGCCAGGCTAGTCTTGAACTCCTGACCGAGTGAAGCTGATGTGTTTGGTATTTTCCTGGAGAAACTGAGGGGCGTTAGTGTAATTGATTTTGGAAGTGTTGTATTGAGACGCCGTCCACCCCTGAGAGAGGCTGCATGGAATTATGGGGGGGGGGGTGCACCAGGATGGTCAGTTAGCCTCCCAGCGTGCTGGGATTACAGGCATGAGACCCTGCGACCCTGCACCCTGCTTCTGGCCTCTGACTTCCTGAGCCTTAGGCCCCTGTGGGCCCAGGCGGGGCCTGACGGGCCGGGCTACCCAGCTCCCCTTTGCTGTCCCCTCTGCCACCAGATGCCATCCGGCAGAGCAACCAGATGCTGCGGGAGCGCTGTGAGGAGCTTCTGCATTTCCAAGCCAGCCAGAGGGAAGAGAAGGAGTTCCTCATGTGCAAATTCCAGGAGGCCAGGAAACTGGTGGAGAGACTCAGCCTGGAGAAGCTCGACCTGAAGAGGCAGAAGGAGCAGGCCGTGCGGGAGGTGGAGCACCTGAAGAGATGCCAGCAGGTAGCCGGGGCCGGAGCAGGCTCAGAAAACCCAAGGGGACGCCCATGTTCCACAAGGGAACCCGTGGTCAGGTCCCCAAGAGCAGCTGGGGCTCAATGCTGTGCTGGGAGGGCTCAGAACTCAGAAAAGCTGTCACACTCCTAGTTGTGGTTTATTGCAAGGAAAGGACACAGGTTACGGTCAGCGAAGGCTCCCCAGGGGAGCTGTGCGGACAGCAGCTGTTTCTTTCAGCAATGGTGTGGGACAGTGCACACAGAGTCACAACCAGGGAAGCTCACCCCTGCTGTGGCAGTTGGGGTTTCCGTGGGGGGTGGGTCATGTAGGCACGGAGCGCCTGGGTGGCCGACTTCGATCACTCGGGCCACAGCCACCAGAGGGCCAGCCGTGTGGCCCAAGGCTCCCCCCATGAATCATGTCGTTAGCGCCGACCACGCGGCTTCAGGGCCTTTGTGTATGGGCTTGGCTGAAGGCAGGAGCCTGGAGACGGGAGTCAGGAAGGGGCTGTGCTGCCTTTGAGGGGCAAGGCGGGGAGATGTGGTGGAGATGACACTTGCTGGCGGGCACCTGGCACTTGCCACAGGCAGGCTCCGCTCCCTTGGGGAAAGGCGTGGACCGTGGGCTGTGCACGCTGCTCCACTCAGGGCTTGGAGCGCCTAGCTTAGGGTGCTGATCTCCCGTGTGGGAAGTGGCTGAGTTTTCTACAGCTGCCATGACCAAGCACCACAGACTGGGGGGCCGAAGCCACAGAAACGAGTGGCCTCCGATTCTGGAGGCCTGGAGGCTGAGCTGGCGGTGGCATCGGCAGGGTGGGCTCGCTGACCCGCCCGGGGCCGTGAGGGAGCTGCCGTCCAGGCCTGTCCCCAGCGCCGGGGTCTGCCGGCTGCACCTCTCCAGTCTGCGTCTCCGTCATCCCATGGCCTTGTCCCCGCGGGCCTCTGTGCCTGTCCTCCTCTTTTTACAAGGACACCGGCATTGAAGATACATAAAAGCAGGCCTTATGTTCAAGCTGAGGAAAGAGATGTTCTTCAGAAACGCCTGCTTGTGGGGGAGAGAGCTGAGCTCTCTTCCTGCCCCAGCAGAGGCGGCCTGGCTTTGTGAAGCTGGAATGAGGGAGTCGGGAGGGGGCGGGGGGGCTCCAGTGAAAGACGACAGGGCGGCCAGTGTCCTTGCCATGAGGCCGGCCGTGTGTGGGAGCTGCCGGTTGCTACCCAGGTTGGGATTCTTCCCTCCCTCGGAGACTTGGACAACGGGCCCCGTCCCTCCCGAGGATTCCATTTCCAAGGGGTGGGTGCGGGGCCTTCGGGGAAGACCCTGGTGGTGGGTGCTGCACAGGGACAGGGGAAGCCCTGTCTAGTAAATGTTCTAAGAAAGGGGAGGTCAGGTGTTGGCCGGAACAGACAGACAGCAATCGGTTTGGACAGCCCTGAGCGTTTCTAGACGGGAGCTCACTCAAGAGGGTCTGGGGTGTTCCAGGGGCCCGTGAGGTGGTGGCCGGGTGTCTTGGTGCAGGGGTTTGAGTGGAGCATGCCTGCTGAGGGGTTCTGCAGTTCCCAGTGTTGAACACCGTTCAGTATTCACTGTTGCTTTGCACAGACTCTCCATCCTGGTAGCCCTGGGCGTGTCTAGGGCCTGTGTGTCCTTTGTTGTGTTTGTGCCTGGCCTACTTTTTTCCCAAGTCTCAGAGAGGCTAAGAGATTCCTTCCTGGGGCCACAGCTTCAAGGCCACTCGGTTCAGTGCTCACGGCCTGGTTGCCAGGGCAGTGACTAAGCTGTGGACAATCTCAAGGCCCCTTTGTGCTCCCTAGTCTCCTTGGGGATCTCTTTCTGCAAGCCCCAGCTGGGGAGGGTTGGGGGCCCTTGGGATCATGCGGCAGGCCTCAGCTGCCTGTGGGCTGCCCCGGGGCTTGCAGGGGGAATGCAGTGCTGACACGAGGTGGCTTTTTCTCCTGCAGCAGATGGCTGAGGACAAGGCCTCTGTGAAAGCCCAGGTGACGTCCTTGCTCGGGGAGCTCCAGGAGAGCCAGAGTCGCTTGGAGGCTGCCACTAAGGAATGCCAGGCTCTGGAGGGTCGGTGAGTGGTGGGGAGCCAGCTCCGGAGGCTCCTTCCAGGGTTTTAGAAAGCATGAGGTGGGTTTAGGGGCCTCCAGGGCTCCTTGATGAGGATAAACAGGGCAGGCTGCATAAACACTTCAGGGCAGGCACTTGGTCCCAGCCAGCTCTCCGCACTCTCAGACACTTTGATAGAGTTTGGATTATTTCCTTAAGAGGCATTTTGGGGGCCCCAAGCTCACACCCACGGTTTCTAGTTCTCTGGAAGGACTTCTGGGACCGGTGCACAGTCACCCTCGTGGCCGAGGTTGATGACAGGGAAAAGGGCAGGAGCTGCGGGTGGAGTTGGAGAAGCTGTGTCCCAGGCTCCTCCCACCTTGTGAGGGGCACAGTGAGAAGTGCCTCCCACATGGGCCATGTTCCTGCCCAGGGTTGCCTGCTAGAGACTCAGCGTCCTGGGTGTTTACTGGGAGCGGGTCAGCATTGTCTGCCAGGCAGGTACCTAACTCTCTGACTCCCAGCAGCAGAGTGGGTGCTCATGGCAATGATGTGCCTACAAACAGCCCAGGTGCAGGGACCTTGGGCGTGCTGGTTACTCTCTTTTGAAAAGGGGTCTTGGTTCTTCTAAGTGGGACCACTGGGTCGAAGGGTAGGGCGGTTTTCTTGGTTCTTACTCGGCCCTGCTTCTACCCTCCAGACAGATGGATCAGCTGCTGCAGGGCCCCAGCCATCCCAGCACAGTAGGTGGTCGGAGCACACTTGGGGCAACCAGCAGGGCAAAGGGGAGGGGAGCTTGACCTGGGCTCTGCTGGGCAGAGGGAGCCCAGGCAGGGTGTGGTGGCAGTGTGCAGGCAGCGGAGAGAGCCAGGCAGCCAGACCTGCCAGGCGGAGTTGGGGTGACTGGAGGCCACCCAGAGTCCGCACAGAAGCATCCACCATCGTCCTGCAGTGGAGCTGTGGGATGAGGCCAGAGCGTGGAAACTGTAGGTTGAGGGAAGTGAGCCTCCACGCAGGGCGTCTGGGATGCCAGCAGAGCTCTGGGCAGCAGCAGGGATGGGGCCGAGGCCTGGTTCGCGTTGAGTTTAGTGCTCGTGCACCCAGGTGGGCAGTGTCTCACTTGTAGAACAGTCTCTGCTGACCCCCTCCACAGAGACTGCTTTTGCTGGGGCCTCCAGCGGCCCCCCATTGGAGTTGGAGCTCCGTGGGCAGTTCTGAGGGCTCCTCTCACCTGGCCCCGGCACTGTGGGATGCAGGCGACCCCATCCTTTTCTTGGACCTCACCTGCTCCTCAAAGCTGCTCACCTGCTGCTCCCACCTAGCCACCTGCAGTGGTCCTCATGTCTGGTGACAGTGCCTCCACCCTGCTGCCTTGCATTGGCTTGTAGTCACAGGGTGTTCAGAGCAGACCCCTTCTGCCCATGCCCTGCGTGTAGCCCCTCCTCTCCTCCTGTTCATCCTCCCTGAGTCTGCTCTGTCCCTGTGCCAGGGCCCGGGCGGCCAGCGAGCAGGTGCGGCAGCTGGAGAGCGAGCGTGAGGCACTGCAGCAGCAGCACAACGTGCAGGTGGACCAGCTGCGCATGCAGGCCCAGAGCGTGGAGGCCGCGCTCCGCATGGAGCGACAGGCCGCCTCGGAGGAGAAGTGAGTCATGGGGGCGGGGCCACATCACAGGGTGTTTGGTTCTACACTCGTTCTCGGCCAAAAGGCCAAGAAGCGGTGGGTCTATGGTTCTTTCTGCCTTCTGGGGAGTCCTTCAGATTCTGTCTGTGGCTGTGGGCCCATTCTCTTCCTTAGCTTTGCTAACAGTAGAGGTGACCATGATGACACCCAGTTTGTCTTTGATACAATCATGCCATCTGCTATCCAGACCATGTTTCACTGTGTGTCCACATGTGGCCTTTTTTGTACCTCTTTTCCTAGCCACTAGGTCATCAGGGGACTTGTCCTTTCAGACCCCCTCTAGGCTGGGTGCTGTGGCTCATGCTTGTAATCCCAGCACTTTGGAAGGCCGAGGTAGGTGGATCACTTAAGCCCAGGAGTTCAAGACCAGCCTGGGCAACAGAAAGACAACAAAAATACCCACAATGTCCCCCTCCTACCAGCATCCAACCTGCGGCCTCAGGTTCCTGTCCTTGATGTGCCTTTGAAGTCCCCTTAAATCTAGAACAGTTACCCGGCCTTTCTGAGTTGTTTGTGAAGTTCACAGTTTTGAAGAGTGCAGGGTAGTTCAATTGTATTATTGCTATTGTTATTATTATTACTACTATTATTTTCAAGATAGGGTCTTGCTCTATCGTCCAGGCTGGAGTGCAGTGGCATTATCTCGGCTTACTGTACCTGGTGCCTCCTGGGCTCAAGCAATCTTCCCACCTCAGCCTCCGAAGTAGCTGGGACTGCAGGCGCAGACTGCCACACCTGGCTAACTTTTGTATTTTTGGTAGATGTGGAGTTTGGCCATGTTGCCCAGGCTGGTCTCAAACCCTTGAGCTCAAGCCAGCCTCCTGCCTTGGCTTCTCAAAGTATGGGAATTACGGGTGTGGGCCAACACATCTGGCCATGATTTTATTACAAATATTTAAACATGTTAGCTTTAAGGAAAATGATATTAACTGCCTAGTGACTAGACCAGCAAAGCCTGCCTCAGAGTCAACAGCTTCAGGAGTCCTTACACAGACTTGGAAGACCCCACTCCAGGCCTGGGATGCGCGGGAGGGAAGGAAGTGGGTGGGGTGGAAGCAGAACTGTGGCCGGACTGGCCTGAGGTGGTTACTCCAGCGCAAGCTCCTTTTCCTCAGGCGGAAGCTGGCTCAGTTGCAGGTGGCCTATCACCAGCTCTTCCAAGAATACGACAGCCACATCAAGAGCAGTGTGGTGAGCAGTGAGCGGAAGCGAGTGAGTGCGGCCGCTGGGGCTCTAGGGCTGGCCCTGCGTCTTCCTCTCCCCACATCCCTGAACCTTGAGAGTGGGCTTCTGGGAGGGATGCTTGACTTGCCCTACACCTTTGTCAGGCTGCAGCTGTGACAACTCAGGGAAGCTGTAGGGAGATGGCAACCCTGGGATGTTGCTCTCAGGAGTGTCAGCAGGCCACCATAATGGGGGGCTGGGGCAGAGCCTCGGGATGCTTCCTCTGTGGGGCTGGGGCTCTGTTGTCTCCGTGGACATTCCCTCTTGCCAGCCATCCGCATCTGTGCTCCTGGCTCAGTTTCCCCCAAGCCATGGTAAGCCCGGCAGCATTTACACCCCAGTGTTGGCTAGGAGCCTTTTCCTAGTTTGTCCTCCTCAGACCTAAGCTGGGTGCAGTTTGCTAGTGATCCCATTTTAGCAGGACACTGTCAAAGCCTGAAGCCAGGTCACATGAGGAAGAGTTAGCGACACAAGTGGCCACGTAATCTCTGGAGGGAAGTGTTGGCAGGGTGTGTCTGTGTGTCGGGGGGGCTGGCGATGCCTGTGTGGGATGAGCGGACCTCTGACCAGGTGCAGAGTGGAAGGGGCGAGGGCTCTCAGTTCCGCCACGCATGCGGCAGGCATGGGCCAGCTCACTGTGCATGGGTGTGACCTGTGTCCTGTGAAGGGTGGGAGGAGGGCTGTGCAGCTGTGGATTCTGGGAAGAGAATGTCCGCCCAGCGGGGAGGTTGTGCCAAGTGACCTCAGTGTGGCCTCTTTGGTCCTGAAGAAAACCTTAGCATCTGCTCTGTCCTTTTGGGCCACGACAGGACACAGCCTTCTCCCTATGCATGCTGAGATCCTGCAGCGGGCCCTCAAATCAAGCAGCTGGCATCACCCAGCTTGGTCAGCCAGGGTCACTGTTTCATCCTTCTCAGTTCCCAGCCAGCCTTGCCCTCGGCCGACGAGGCTCCGTCAGCTCCCCTTGCCTGTCTTTAGGGAATGCAGCTGGAAGATGTCAAGCAGCAGCTCCAGCAGGCTGAGGAGGCCCTGGTGGCCAAACAGGAGGTGATCGATAAGCTGAAGGAGGAGGCCGAGCAGCACAAGATGGTGATGGAGACTGTTCCAGTGCTGAAGGCGCAGGTCAGGGCTCTCCTCTCTGGCCCACCCTCCCGCTGGGACCTGCTGTGTCTCTTTGGTGTCTTTTTGTGTGCATGTGTTTTCTTTTTGAGACGGATTTTTGCTCTTGTTGCTCAGGCCAGAGTGCAATGGCAGGATCTCAGCTCATTGCAGTCACCACCTCCCGGGTTTAAGGATTCTCCTGCCTCAGCCTCCCTAGTAGCTGGGACTGCAGGTGCCCTCCACCAGCCCTGGCTAATTTTTGTATTTTTAGTAGAGACCGGTTTCACCATGTTGGCCTGGCTGGTCTCAATCTCTTGAATTTGTGATCCACCCACTCCAGCCTCCCAAAGTGCTGAGATTACAGGCGTGAGCCACCATGCCCGGCCTCTTTGGCGTCACTTGGTGGTGGCCTTTCGTAAGCTTCTCAGCCACTTGTGCTGCACTTGGTGTCACTCGCCGACATATCTGTTTCCTCTGTGCCTGGCACAGTGCCCAGTGGGTGGCTGGCTTGTGGTGGGCATATTGCTCTCTCTTGGATTTGCCAGGCGGACATCTACAAGGCGGACTTCCAGGCTGAGAGGCAGGCCCGGGAGAAGCTGGCTGAGAAGAAGGAGCTGTTGCAGGAGCAGCTGGAGCAGCTGCAGAGGGAGTACAGCAAATTGAAGGCTACCTGTCAGGAGTCGGCCAGGTGGGCTTCTAAGAGTATGCCCCTGTGAGCAGTGGGTGTGACACTAGGGGGTTGCCAGTGGTGACTACAGGAGACGGATGGCTTCTGGCATTCCGGGTTAGGACTTACTGTGGCCCCTTTCGACTTACCTGAGCTTCCAAGAGCTGCTCTGACACTAGTCCAGCCATGGAGCTTTACAGAAGCGTGTGCCTTGACTGGACGGTTTCTGTTTTCAAAGGATTGAGGACATGAGGAAGCGGCACGTAGAGGTCTCCCAGGCCCCCTTGCCCCCTGCCCCCGGTGAGTGAGCAAGCATTGGGCCTGCGGGAGGAGGGGCAGGTAGGGGGGAGGGTGGGTGCTGTGCTGCGGGAGGTCACAGCTAGACCTTCCTGTCGCTCTCCGGAGTCTTGACGGTGGGAGCTTGCACTGGTCACCCCGTCGGTAGCCCAGCCCCTGACCTGAGGCTAAGGGAGGCCTGTAGGCCTGTCTCACAGTCCCGCCAAGTCTCTGTCCTCTCCATCCTCCCCTCGCTTCTGACTCTTCTCTTTTCCCAGCCCACCACTCCTTTCTCCTGGCTCAGCCCAACCAGAGGAGGAGCCCCCCTGAGGAGCCGCCTGACTTCTGCTGTCCCAAGTGCCAGTATCAGGCCCCTGATATGGACACCCTGCAGATACATGTCATGGAGTGCATTGAGTAGAGCCGGCCAGCGCAAGGCCACTGCCTGCCGAGGACATGCCCGGGAACGTGCTGTCTGTGCTTTCTTCTCCTGCCTGCCTAGCCCAGGATGAAGGGCTAGATGACCACGAGTAGGGTGCTGCCTGGAGCCCCAGGAGCCTGCTGCGGTGCCTTAGGCTTCAGCTCTGGGTCCACTGGTCCCCTCTTGTAGGGCAGCTGCAGTCCCGAGCAGGCCTGATACACTGCTCTTCTTGTTGCCTTCTGTCTGCTTGAACCACTTGCCTTGGGCTGATCCCTCCTTCTTCCTCCACTTCCCACTGGGGAAGTCAAGAATGGCGACCAGGTGCTCTCAGGGAGAACTGCTTCCCCACTTCCCTGGGCAGAGCTGGGTGGCAGCTCTTCCTACTGGCCACCGACCCGCCCGCTGCTGTGCTCTGGGAGTGCTGCCCTCTTACAGTGCACACGGCTGCTGTCCTTGTGGACCGCATGCTATCCCTTTTTGCAGTGAGACCGATGTGTATTTAACCAGTCACTATTGATGGACATTTGGATTGTTTCCAGTCTTTTTGTTACCATAAATAACGGCACAGTAAAAATCCTTGTGCATCAGTTGAGCGTATCTTTGGGGTAGATTCTGAGAACTGACACCACTGAGCATGGGTGATGGCTTAGGCGGTACCTGAACACAAACACGGTGGCTTGCGCCTGTAATTTCAATACCTTGGGAGGTCAAGCCGGGCAGATCACCTCGGTCTCACCAAGTCCTGTGATTACAGGCATGAGCCGCCACATCTGGCAAGGCTGGTCTCCCCTGCAGGCGCGGAGAGAGTCGGTTTCAAACCTCTGTCTTAGCCTCTGCTGGTAGCAGTCCTTGGGGTCCCTGGGCTTATAGAGCCATCACCCCAGTCTCTGCCTCTGTCATCACACAGTCTCTTCCTCTTCGTCTGTGTCTTCCCTCTGTCTCCCACCCTCCTTGGAGCTTGGTTTCCCAACTCTCTGCACCCCCTATTTCCCTAGCCTTGCCAAGGAGGAGGTGGGAAAGCCCATTTGGGGTTTTGTCATTCGCTAGGCATGCAGTTCTCTGTTAAGAGTGAGCTTAAGTATTGTTACTGAGGAGTTAGGACCTTTTTTAGTTCTGCTTCTGAATGGGCTGCTCATATTGGTTTTTTTTTTTTTTTGAGACAGAGTTTTGATTTTCTCACCCAGACTGGAGTACAGTGGTGGGATCTTGGCTCACTGCAACCTCCACCTCCTGGGTTCAAGCGATTCTGCTGCCTCAGCCTCCTGAGTAGCTGGGATTACAGGCACCTGCCACCACACCCATCTAATTTTTGTATTTTTAGTAGAGACGGGAGTTCACCATGTTGGCCAGCCTGGTCTTGAACTCCTGACCTCAGGTGATCCACCTGCCTTGACCTCCCAAAGTCCTGAGATTACAGGTGTGAGCCACCGTGCTGGGCCAATATTTGTATTTTTAGTAGAGGTGGGTGTTTCACCATGTTGGCCAGGCTGGTCTCAAACTCCTGACTTCAGGCGATCTGCCCTCTTGGCCTTCCAAAGTGCTGGGATTACAGGCGTGAGCCACTGCGCCTCACTGGGCTGCTCATATCTTTTATCCATTTTTCTTTTGTTGCTTTTAGAAACTCTTTGTCCATGAGCAGGATTAGCTTTGACTTTGCTACTAGTGTTTCTTTGTTTTTTGTTTTGAGACAAGGTCTCTCTCTGTCACCCAGGTGGGAGTACAGTGGCACAATCACAGCTCACTGCTGTGATTCGGCCTTGGCCTTGTGAGTAGCTGGGATCATAGGCGTGGGCATCACACCCCACTAAACTACTAGTGTTTCTCGGCCTTGAAGTTTATTTTCTGTAGTCACATTTATCCATTTTTGTTTCCTTTTGCTGCTTTGAGTTTAGAGTCATGATGACCACCTGCGGTCTGTCGGAAGGCGCTTCACACAGGAACACTTTTCTTTTTCTAACACCGAAACATGCTTTGATCTTCACTAAGAATATTGTTGCCCAGTTATGAAGAGCAGACGATTCTACTTGTTTTACAAGATTCTGGAAATTTCCTAGGATGTCAGAGCCCTGGGCATGAACCCTGCAATTGTAGCAAAGGAAACCAAGTTGGAAGTTGACTCCCCAGCACCCGGGCCTGCCTTCCTGCTGTCCCCCAAGCAGCCCTGGTTGGGAACGGGATGTTGTGAGTCCACCCCAGGCTTCCTCACAGGGCTTCCTGCTATTTGACAGTGTGAGGCTGGCTAGAATTGGAATAGCAGGCCTTCTAAAAATTAGCCTGGCCTGAGGGCTTTCTCAGTATCTGCAAGGGCGAGGGGAGCGACTTTTCCCCTTCTTCGAGCCAGGTGTCCATCAGATTGTATTTGGGAAAACGTTAAAGGCACAGACAGCTTCTCTGCTCACGGTTGCTACATTTAAATCCTAATCTTGCAATTTTTCTACAAGAGCATTTACACTTTTTTTTGGAGGGAGGGTGTATGAGTTGAGTGTGTCTGCTGTCATAAAGTAATGCACACTTGGGGCTTGAAACAACAGAAACTCCTTCACAGTGTTGGAAGCTAGACTCTGCAATCAAGTTGTCAGCAAGGCTGGCTTTTTCCTTTCTTTTTTGAAGACAGAGTCTTGGTCTGTCACCCAGGCTGGAGCACAATTGTGCCATCTCGGCTCACTGTAACTTCTGCCTGGAGGGTTCAAGCGATTCTTGTGTCTCAGTCCCCCCGAGTAGTTCGGATTACAGGTACATGCCACCATGCCCAGCTAATTTTTGTATTTTTAGTAGAGACAGGGTTTTGGCATGTTGGCCAGGCTGGTCTCGAACTCGTGACCTCAAGTGATCCTCCCATCTTGGTCTCACAAAGTCGTGGGATTATAGGTGTGACCCATTGTGTCCATTGGGCAAGGCTAGTCTCCTCTGCGGGTACTGAGAAAATCAGTTTCAAGCCTGTGTCTTAGCCTCTGCTGGTAGCCTGCAGTCCGTGGGGTCCCTGAGCTTATAGAGCCATCACCCCAGTCTCTGCCTCTGTCATCACACAGTCTCTTTCTCTTCGTCTGTGTCTTCCCTTCCGTCTCTTATAAAGGACACCAGTAATTGGACATAGGGCCCACCTGGGTAACGCAGGATGCTCTCGTCTTGACATTCATTACATCTGCGAAGACCCTTTTCCTGAAGAAGGTCACACCCACAAGATACGCACGTATGTTTTCAGGGCCGCCATACAACCTAGTACAGGGACATCTTCCAGAGCACACAGATGAGGGCAAATGCAGCAGCAGCGCCTAGGAGCCTGAAAAACACTCCTGCTTGGGCCCCCTGGACCAACTGAGTCCGAATCTGGGGGTGGGACCAGGTGTTGGTCTAGACCCACTGCCCTGCCTGGAGATGGGGCTGCCTCATTCCTCCTGTCACATGGCATAGGGTTGACTGTACACCAGACCCCAAGGATTTAAAACCATTTGTCCAGCCAGAAGCGTGGCATTTCAGGGTGTTCCTTTCTGGTTTTACTTAGGTTGAGCTTCCAGAACAACTGGTCAGATTACTCTTGGGAGGGAACTAGCCACCTGCCCTATTGGCTGCAGTTCCTTGATCCACAAGCCAGAAGCCCATCCCTGCCAGAGCTTGTGGCGTTCGCCGGTGTTCATGTGCACACGCACGGTGCAGGTGACCAGAAAGCACAGTGAAAAAGTATTTTGCCCTCGCCAGTAACTAAAACAACACCAACTCTAAGAGCAAGCAAACAGTGATATGAAAATAGCAACTGATGAAGTCCTAGGTGAGCGCTCTGCTGGCAAGGTGCAGGGCACAGGCCTTGCAGTGCTGCCCCTTCCGAGAGGGCCATTTGCTGAGACAGAGCAAGCCTGTAGGCAGCGTCCTCAGCCCTGGTGCATAACCCTTAGAGATAGTCAGCTATTCATGATGACTCTGGCATTAGGGAGGCACTCACTTCATTATTTGTAGCCGCCAAGGGCTGGGATGAAGTAAGAGGTTGCATATCTAATGATGTGGCCCTGCACAGCTGGCGTTTTGAACATCCCACGCGCAACATGCCCCATAGCATGCTTGTGTGAACAGGTCAAGTAACAAACTTATGGATAAAGTGTGACCCCAGTAGAGAAGTTGCAGCTATGAGTGCACACCCTGCTAACATCTGCATGGATGTGAGTAGCTGGGTGGCCAGTAATGAGAAGTGTTCCTTACATGTTAACATGTTTTCTAAATGCCTACAATTTGTATGCACTCCTTTGATACATAGAAAAGACATCTTCCCACACAGTCGCTCGTGTGTTAACGTAGCTCTGTTTTCTTCTGTACTGGTGGCTGGGAAGAGCTCACTGTTGACACTGCGGCTCAGCAAGGCACAGGGCAGGGGACACCCCCGCTACTCCATGGGGCCGGGGCTTCCTGTGTCTCCTGGGGCTGCCTGACCAGGCACCACAGACTGGGGGGCCGAAGCCACAGAAACGAGTAGCCTCCGATTCTGGAGGCCTGGAGGCTGAGCTGGCGGTGGCATCGGCAGGGTGGGCTCGCTGACCCGCCCGGGGCCGTGAGGGAGCTGCTGTCCAGGCCTGTCCCCAGCGCCGGGGTCTGCCGGCTGCACCTCTTCAGTCTGCGTCTCCGTCATCCCATGGCCTTGTCCCCGCGGGCCTCTGTGCCTGTCCTCCTCTTTTTACAAGGACACCGGCATTGAAGATACATAAAAGCAGGCCTTATGTTCAAGCTGAGGAAAGAGATGTTCTTCAGAAACGCCTGCTTGTGGGGGAGAGAGCTGAGCTCTCTTCCTGCCCCAGCAGAGGCGGCCTGGCTTTGTGAAGCTGGAATGAGGGAGTCGGGAGGGGGCGGGGGGGCTCCAGTGAAAGACGACAGGGCGGCCAGTGTCCTTGCCATGAGGCCGGCCGTGTGTGGGAGCTGCCGGTTGCTACCCAGGTTGGGATTCTTCCCTCCCTCGGAGACTTGGACAACGGGCCCCGTCCCTCCCGAGGATTCCATTTCCAAGGGGTGGGTGCGGGGCCTTCGGGGAAGACCCTGGTGGTGGGTGCTGCACAGGTGTCTCAAAGGGACAGGGGAAGCCCTGTCTAGTAAATGTTCTAAGAAAGGGGAGGTCAGGTGTTGGCCGGAACAGACAGACAGCAATCGGTTTGGACAGCCCTGAGCGTTTCTAGACGGGAGCTCACTCAAGAGGGTCTGGGGTGTTCCAGGGGCCCGTGAGGTGGTGGCCGGGTGTCTTGGTGCAGGGGTTTGAGTGGAGCATGCCTGCCGAGGGGTTCTGCAGTTCCCAGCGCCGTCATTTTCTTTCTTTCTTTTTTTAATTTGTTTTTTATTGCATTTTAGATTTTGGGGTACATGTGAAGAACATGCAAGATTGTTGCATAGGTACACACGTGGCAGTATGATTTGCTGCCGTCCTCCCCATCACCTATATCTGGCATTTCTCCCCATGCTATCTCTCCCCAGCTCCCATCCCCTGCTGTCCCTCCCCTATTTCCCCCCTACAGACCCCAGTGTGTAGTGCTCCCCTCCCTGTGTCCATGTGTTCTCATTGTTCAACACCCGCCTATGAGTGAGAACATGCGGTGTGTGATTTTCTGCTCCTT